ATATATAACAACATACGTAATAATATACGTATACAGTAGACGTAACAATATAAAGTTGGTAAACTCGATATAAGACTGAAGGAATGTCTGTAATAAATAAAATTTCTACATGAAGAATCACTTATTTTCTACATTTTTTAAACGGGTATTGAAGGTGTACGAATGATTTTCGCCTATTTGAAAGATACAAAGTTACGAATTTATTATTATAATAATCCAAATTCTTTAAAGAAAAATACATTTTACATCAAATAGAATTAGGTTAAATCTTTATTTAAATTAATTAAAACTTATTACTGATGATAATACAGTAGATTCCCTCTTTTACGATCTGATTGTCTCGCACAAAACGTAGTTAAACGATTCGTCGTAAAGCGAGCAGTCGTGTTTCTTATAAGTTTTAGTGTCGTAAATTCGGACTATGTCCATAGAAATTAATTTTAATTTTATAATGTCTAATAGATAAGACCTATAAAAATACACGACATAAATGCGGCGTTTTGTACAGCTATAATGAAAAATTTGAATAAGTCATACGAACGGGGGTTAAAGCGGGTAGTCGTAAATCGGGGTCTATTGTATAAACATTGTTATATATATATATATATATATATATTAATTAAAAATGTTCTATTTTTTTATATTTAGTTCATTTATATTTTTCATAAAAATATATTAAGAAATAAATAAACTAAATAATTTGTTAAAGTTGTAAATAATTTAAATATAATTTAAAAAATCCAATAAAGTAATAAAAATTGTAAAATAAATAACAAAATAATTTTTAAATAATTAAAAAAATAACCTGAAAATTTAATGCAATAATAAAAAATCATGTAAAAATAATTTTAAAAAATCAAAGAAATAACCGTAAAATAATNCAAAGACACATGGCAAATTTTCCATCAAATTCCTTTATTAGTTGAGTCGATGCGGTACATTGTTTTGTAGTCGTTTCGGGCTTTGCCCCTCTTCAGTCAACTGTATTTTCTCTTCCTGTCTGTGATCTTGCTGTTGGCTTCTTTGCATTTTTGTTTGATGAGTCTTGCCGTTTCTAGTTTCTGTAGATTTGTTGATTTGTTTTTTGAAACCGTGTCCTGTTTTATATTTGTGGCGTAGTAAACACTAGTATTGTGTTTTATTCCAAAGACACATGGCAAATTTTTCATCAAATTCCTTTAATTCCACCAAATTCTCGACTCAATTAATAAAGGAATTTGATGGAAAATTTGCCATCTGTCTTTGGAATAAAACACAATACTAGTGTTTACTACGCCACAAATACGTACCAATTCATGTGAATTCTATTACTTAAAACTTCTACATTAAAATATAGAAGTTTAAAGTAATAATAAACCACCGATAACGACCATCTCTCAATAAAAATTTTCTTTTTATTGAGAGATAATAAATTTCTCAATAAAAGAGAAATTTATTAAGAAAGTTGAAGAATTGAAGATTTCAATCAACAGCAGCAGAAAGTCCGTAAAGATATTACAAAAAGTAGCTTCCGAGACTGCTTTGACAAGTGGTATATAGCTACATTAGCAACTTGTTTGAAAAATAGCGAAGTGTAAGACTTTCTATACTTTGTATAATAAAACCAGTTCCAAAAATTCTGTTCATTTTAACTCAACAACCAATATATTATTTGCATAGTAAAGTAATCAGTCACGCCAGTTTTTACTGGACTCTACCTTCAAATATGACATTAAAAATTTAATTTAGATATTTTTTCATAATCTTAGAATGAAACTGGGTTTATATTTATCGACATAAATCAAAATAATATNCTTGAGGAAAAACTATCAGGAACAGGAAGATACAAAACAGAATACTGTGACGTCAAGGAAAAGAGATCTTACTGTGTGATCAAACAGATGGCTGTGGAAACGAAAATGTTAGGAAAGTAATAAGCTGCCCAAACTTTCGTTTTTAATATTCTTCGTTTCGTCTTATTTGCTTAAATAAAGAATTGTTTTAAACAGTTTGAACTCATAGGTTATTTATATCATTTATATATTCCAGTGTTTCTCAACGAGGGCGAAAAAGTTAGGAGAGTGTAAGATGCAACAGAGGAGTGATCTACCTCCTGGGAGAACTTTCTACAGAAAACTAGCCCCTGTTTAGATGCTATATACGTGAAGAAAACCCGGAAAACTTAACCCAGGCTCGAACCCACGACCAAGTACTAGCGTTTAATAGTTTTATCCACTTGGCCACTGGTGGGCCGCTTCTTACGAGGTAAATTAGTTTTAGGTGCACGAAAAAATATTGGCCACAATGTTACACCAGCCAGGAATGTAACGCTATCAGACATAAAATAATAGACATTTATAACAAATAAGTATAGTTTAACCCCTATTTACGAGCGTACTTCGTTCCTGAAAACCTCTCGTAAATAAGTGCGAGCTTTTTCGCACGGTCGATATTTGAACCTCGTTTCTCCTTAACCCAGTTCACTCCTACCCGTATTTCCCCCCAAATAAAATTAAATTTGTTATAAAATTTCTATTTATCTATCAATAAATGATTCTAATTTTGATTAGGTTATTCATTAATATAAAGGAAACAAATGGGTTACGATATAAGAGTAACAAACACATAATTTATCAGATATTTCTTTAATGTTAAGAAAAATTAAGACAATAAGTTAGCAGAAAACAAATAACATAAAGTAAAATGTTAGTTTTTTAATTAATGAAATTGTAATCACCCATAGAAAGGTCTATAATCGAGAGATAAAGCTCACTAAATGACACTACACAGCGCGAATTAAACAAAGAAAATGGAGATTGGAACCAGTTTAATTTCGACGCGTGGGAATTTTATTCTTGTCCCACTACAAAATCGTTAGGAATTAATCGAATTTAAATGTATTTTCACTCGTTGTATCGAATATACCGTAATAAACCGGAGAAAATAGAAAAGAAAACAATTCGTTGTATCGAATTCTCGTATATCGAGTACTCATAAATCGGGTTTACACTATAAATAAATATGGTAAATTAATAAGTATGTTTGCTATTTTTAGAGAGAGATTAGAAAAATTATTGAATTTTAAGGAAGAGATGGAAAATACACATCTATTTAAATTTAATTTCGTTCACAAATAAGTACTCTATAATTAATAAATAATTAAAAATATTTAGGTCAAGATATTTCGAATTACATAAATTAAATTTATTTATTTATATTCGTTTATTCAGTTTCAAGTTATAATTAATGACGCGACGCGACGCGACGTCGCGCCGCCACGTCAGGAATCAACATGGAGTCAGTTAATAATAGAGGAAATACATTCCGTTATAATAAAAACTTAACTAATAAATAGTAATACAGCCGAACCTTAAAAATGGCCATTGTTTAGAGGTTATTTTAGTATGCATTTCTGTTAAACATTCCTGAGAAAATGACCGCCGTATAGAGGTTCGTCTTTATCTAGGATTATCTTTGAAATTACATTATTTTGTCCATTTTTTTTCTCACTTCAAATGTATATATCCAATATTATTTATTTTTTTATTTTTGATAAACTTAGAATAANTTTTTAATTTCTATTAAAATTGATATATTTTATACAGAAATATACTTATTCTCATGATATTTCGAATTACATAAATTAAATTTATTTATTTATATTCGTTTATTCAGTTTCAAGTTATAATTAATGACGCGACGCGACGCGACGTCGCGCCGCCACGTCAGGAATCAACATGGAGTCAGTTAATAATAGAGGAAATACATTCCGTTATAATAAAAACTTAACTAATAAATAGTAATACAGCCGAACCTTAAAAATGGCCATTGTTTAGAGGTTATTTTAGTATGCATTTCTGTTAAACATTCCTGAGAAAATGACCGCCCTATAGAGGTTCGTCTTTATCTAGTTAACTGTTATATAAAGTAGACTATAATTTCATAAAAATAAATATATATAAAGTGACAATATCAAGTTAGTAAAAGTGTGATTGGTGGTTCATCTAAAAAATTATTTTGTAGACAATGTTTACATTCGGATACACTAACAGATAAATGTTTGAAACACGTTTATTTAATTACGTTTAGTAACAACCAAAGAAAAAAATATATATATATATATTCTTAACAATTTTTTTTCTTTGGAAATATTTGTAGAAGATACATTTTACACAAAAAGATTGCACTCTTTTCAAATTTACTTAATATCCGAACTATTTAACTTGAATCAATATAGCCGCTTGTTCGACTAAGAGCAGTGAAAATTCACTTTACAGAAAAGCGTTAACGCATTGAACTTCTTTGTATGTTTATATCCATTAGAAATTTTTTTCTGTTAATTAATGTTTAAAACGTTTATATTATTAACGAGTTTTGGCTAATTTTTGCTTATGGAATTGATTGGATTGATGGAATTAGGCAACGCATGGGCAATTTTTCAACAGGTAATTGCTTCCAGGGAAGGACTTTTATGAAAAGACGTGAAGAAAACCCGGAAAACTCAACGTGACAGCCCGTTATTCAGATCCTAACCTACTATAGTAGTGTTATCCCTTCGTCTATTGGTGGTTTTGTGAGCGCTTATGACGCGTAAATCCTAAATTTGGTTTTAAAACAGGTAAAAAAAATTAATGATAAATTTGGAAAGAAACTTAAATTGATATTGCAAAGGGAAAGGAATTAGAAAATTTGTTTTTTTCTTTTCATGAAAATAAATTAAATACGGATATTTGTGTTTATTTTTAAACTTGCAACAAGAGGATATTGAAGTGTCAAACGGCTTGCTGCTGAAAGAATATAAACCGGTTCATACTTCGCGAGAATAAGAAAGAGAAAAGAATTTTCTATTTTCTTTTCTGTTATTTTATTTCTTTTTTCATAAGCATTTATATTTCACGAGCTTGCAGTGTACTGGGTATAAGATATATTAGCTCAGATATACTTTAAAAGTACTCATCTCACTCGTAAAACGTTTTTAAGAAGAGGAGAATACATAATTTTAATTAAATCAAAAAGAAAGAGAATGAAGAATATTACAAACCGATAAAAGAAATTAGGGACGTTCGTCCGAAATATCTTTTCAGTATTTAATGTGAGTTTTAAATGAATTTTTATCTAAATTTTGAATCTCTATACACTCTTTTTCATTGTCTCAAAGTATGAACTCATCTTCTCTAAAGGAAGATCAGAGAACTGAACCTTTGATACACCATCTGAATGCACAAGCTTCTTCATCGCCTCAATGTAATATATATATATATATTTGTTTGGTATATTTTTGGACATTATTTTGTTCATAAACTTTTTGTACTTCTTGCAGAACTTGAGGAAAAACTATCAGGAACAGGAAGATACAAAACAGAATACTGTGACGTCAAGGAAAAGAGATCTTACTGTGTGATCAAACAGATGGCTGTGGAAACGAAAATGTTAGGAAAGTAATAAGCTGCCCAAACTTTCGTTTTTAATATTCTTCGTTTCGTCTTATTTGCTTAAATAAAGAATTGTTTTAAACAGTTTGAACTCATAGGTTATTTATATCATTTATATATTCCAGTGTTTCTCAACGAGGGCGAAAAAGTTAGGAGAGTGTAAGATGCAACAGAGGAGTGATCTACCTCCTGGGAGAACTTTCTACAGAAAACTAGCCCCTGTTTAGATGCTATATACGTGAAGAAAACCCGGAAAACTTAACCCAGGCTCGAACCCACGACCAAGTACTAGCGTTTAATAGTTTTATCCACTTGGCCACTGGTGGGCCGCTTCTTACGAGGTAAATTAGTTTTAGGTGCACGAAAAAATATTGGCCACAATGTTACACCAGCCAGGAATGTAACGCTATCAGACATAAAATAATAGACATTTATAACAAATAAGTATAGTTTAACCCCTATTTACGAGCGTACTTCGTTCCTGAAAACCTCTCGTAAATAAGTGCGAGCTTTTTCGCACGGTCGATATTTGAACCTCGTTTCTCCTTAACCCAGTTCACTCCTACCCGTATTTCCCCCCAAATAAAATTAAATTTGTTATAAAATTTCTATTTATCTATCAATAAATGATTCTAATTTTGATTAGGTTATTCATTAATATAAAGGAAACAAATGGGTTACGATATAAGAGTAACAAACACATAATTTATCAGATATTTCTTTAATGTTAAGAAAAATTAAGACAATAAGTTAGCAGAAAACAAATAACATAAAGTAAAATGTTAGTTTTTTAATTAATGAAATTGTAATCACCCATAGAAAGGTCTATAATCGAGAGATAAAGCTCACTAAATGACACTACACAGCGCGAATTAAACAAAGAAAATGGAGATTGGAACCAGTTTAATTTCGACGCGTGGGAATTTTATTCTTGTCCCACTACAAAATCGTTAGGAATTAATCGAATTTAAATGTATTTTCACTCGTTGTATCGAATATACCGTAATAAACCGGAGAAAATAGAAAAGAAAACAATTCGTTGTATCGAATTCTCGTATATCGAGTACTCATAAATCGGGTTTACACTATAAATAAATATGGTAAATTAATAAGTATGTTTGCTATTTTTAGAGAGAGATTAGAAAAATTATTGAATTTTAAGGAAGAGATGGAAAATACACATCTATTTAAATTTAATTTCGTTCACAAATAAGTACTCTATAATTAATAAATAATTAAAAATATTTAGGTCAAGCACAGAATATTATGTCAAATGTAACTCTGGAAATCACTTTAATCAATATTTTATAAATATTTAAATAAAGACTAATAGTTTTTTTAATCCAATTATGATTTTCATAAGAGAAATCTTAGTAAAGGAAGCCATTAAAATTTTATTTAAGTTCGTATGTCTGTTCGTATGCATTTCTAAACCTTGCTAGTCACTTCTATTGTGAGTCATGTGTGTTCATAATGAACAAAATTGAAGTCATGTATATAGATTATTATGCATATAGACGTTATGCTCATTCATAACCAGACTTAGATAGTACATCCTATATTATATATATATATATATATATATATATATATATATATATATATATATATATATATATATATATATATATATATATATATATATATATATATATATATATATATATATATATATATATATATATATATATATATATATATATATATATATATATATATATATATATATATATATATATATATATATATATATATATATATATATATATATATATATATATATATATATATATATATATATATATATATATATATATATATATATATATATATATATATATATATATATATATATATATATATATATATATATATATATATATATATATATATATATATATATATATATATATATATATATATATATATATATATATATATATATATATATATATATATATATATATATATATATATATATATATATATATATATATATATATATATATATATATATATATATATATATATATATATATATATATATATATATATATATATATATATATATATATATATATATATATATATATATATATATATATATATATATATATATATATATATATATATATATATATATATATATATATATATATATATATATATATATATATATATATATATATATATATATATATATATATATATATATATATATATATATATATATATATATATATATATATATATATATATATATATATATATATATATATATATATATATATATATATATATATATATATATATATATATATATATATATATATATATATATATATATATATATATATATATATATATATATATATATATATATATATATATATATATATATATATATATATATATATATATATATATATATATATATATATATATATATATATATATATATATATATATATATATATATATATATATATATATATATATATATATATATATATATATATATATATATATATATATATATATATATATATATATATATANAAAAATATACGTATTTTGGAAATGTTGAGTCGGATTAGTCTAGAATCGATTAATTTTATGGAAGAAAACCTTTCAAACAGCCATAGTCCGTAAACTTCACACGTGTCGGGCTGTGATTGGCTGTGATTCCTACAAAGTTGATTCATAAAGAACGAAACGTATCTACCGTCTTATAGGGGATCGACTGTATTTATATAGGGTGGCTCACAGGCATGTTATCAAGGACTAACACCTAAAATATCACGTTTCCTAATACTTAAACAGAGGGAACTAATCCCTCTGTTTAAGTATTAGGAAACGTGATATAAAAGAAAATAGCCCCTAAAACACGAAAAAACCTGAAAGACTCCACGTGACCTAGTGAGGTGCGAACCCATGACCAACCGGTATTTAGTGGTTTATCCACTAACCACTACAGTTTTTATACAACAATACATTACTTTTTAAATGCTACAATTAGTTTTTTTTACATATTTAAATTATTTAAACATATCTAAGCGCTCAAATATGAAAAACAATTGCATTTTCAAGCGAATAAATACTAACTTTTTTAATAAAATAAAATCATTCCAATAATTAATTAATTAATAAGTAATACCAAAATGCATGTAAATAAAGCACTGTAGAGAACAATTTTAAAAAATAGTTTTTATGAATTAAAATTAATGAATCCATTTAATGACTTAAGAACTAGAGAAACGTTATATGCTAATAATGTAAATGAGATTAAGGCAAATGATGGACATGATTTTTAATTAAAAATCTTTTAAGGATAAGATAACGTGTCTTTGGATCTTCTGTTGTACAGTTTGATAAATGACCTTCCATCTTCAACAATGGTAATCATTATCAATCTATTGCTTTAAATAAAATTAAATTCATTGTACGTAATAAATGACTTTTCTAATTAATTTCGAATATTTTAATGATATTTTGATTCATTACAAATTTTTAATTAGATAATTTATATTTTAGAAAGTCAAAAAAAAAATAAATAAATAAATAAATTTTTTAAATAGAAAATTTAATTATATAAACCTAACTTAAGATTTATTAGATAAATAAATAGTTAAACCTGTGAATAACGGCCATTTACGAGAACATAAAAATGGCCGCCGTTTGGAGGTTAAAGGGACCCTGAAATGAATCCTGGCGGGTCGACGAGCCACGGGAATTTTTCGGGGATTTATCGTGGTTATATCCCTCACATCCGGTGTACCAATTATAGTACTGGCTGAACTTGCAAAGGGTTCGAAAAAGATCCTCTTAGTGCCCACAGGGAAAAAACAGTAGAAAAAAGAGCGACAGGGTGGTGAGCGACGTATCCGAGAGACATTACCCGAAAGAGTTTCCTGGATTCGATCCCGGTTCCCCCAGAGTAAGAGGCTTCACACCTTAACCGAATCAGTCTGGCCCATTGAATACAATTACATCAAAGATACTTTCATGACAATATTTCACTTGTTTAATTTCTATTATAACATAATTCAAATACTTTTGTAGTCACCTGGAACGTTTAATAAAAGATAGGAGCCGAGAACCATTGTTTTTTTTAATAATGGCCATCTATAAATATACTCATAGATCACTCACAGCAATTATTTTTTTATTGGTTCCACTAAATTATTAAACAATATATATACAGTATATATCAAACTCAAACACCTATTAATCACAAGCACAAAATTAAAGTAGCCCAAAAGTCGGCTAACCGTTCTGTAAGTAATTTGATCAATTTTTATAACTAACGAGATATTTAAATATAACAATAATTTAGCCTGGTTAACTGACTATTGGGCCACCCTATATAAGAATTAATAACAATGTATACAGGCTTAAAAAACGTGAAATTTTAAGTGAAATTAACAAGAGAGATTAATGAAGTTAAGTGTATTTAAGAGAAAGAGAGAGAGAAGAACGATCTTTATGTTAATTTTGCTGCTTTGTAAAAAGATTGAGTCGACATTTATAAATGGGATAACTTCAATTAAATAAAAGTTAATTGCCATGTTTTGCTTTAATTTAAACATAAATCTCAAATTAATAAGTAGAAAATGTTCAAAATGATCATTAAAACTTATTGACCAAGTCAATGAAAGAAAGGTGTATTTAGTGAAAATCAATTCTCATTTTCGAAAAGTTTGGTTCAAACGTTCAATTAATCCGTTGTCTTTCTACATCCAATTACAACTAGTCTTGAATTTACTAATTGAAGTCGATTTTCTAACCAACTTCTATTGGATAATAAAACGAATAAAAGTCTGTCGATTTTATTGTTTTTTTATTTGATTTTTTTAAATTAATATATTTTTAAATAATTGTTTTTATTAATTGTAATTCGATATAAAAATTGTAAATTTTGAAAAGGAAAAAAAAAAAATGTTTTGTATTGATCTGGAAAAATTAATGCCGAAGACCATTGAGGAAACGTTGAAGGAATGTTGAAAAAAGTCGAAGAATATTGAAGAATGCTGAAGATCATTGAGAAAACGTTGAAGAAATGTTGAAAAAAGTCAAAGAATGTGAAATAAACATTGAAGAATGCTGAAGACTATTGAGGAAATGTTGAACAAACTTACAAATGTTTAAAAAGAATGGAGGAAATGACGAGGAAACGTTTGAAATGTTGACTTTTTAATTTAATAAAAACGTTATTTTTTAACGTATTTTAAATTAAAATGTCGTTCTTTTCTTACTTATCAAAGTTTTTTTATTCCATATTTAAAATTTTAATTTTTTAACTTAAAAATATAAAATTTAGAATGTTTCTTTTTGTTTTTTTTTTTCTGGAAATTATCATCCCAATTCCATACTTGAATTTATTTTACTTGATTATTTCAAGGTTTGTATTTTAAATATTAATAGATTATTGAGAATTACACAATAAAAAATGGATAGTTGCATAATTTATGTCGTTTCATTTATTCAAAATGCATCATTATAATGTTAAGAATCTACTTTTTTAAAATAGAAAACTATCAAAAATTTGTTACTTCTTCAATTCAATTTAATTTTCTTTTTCATAAACTTCATTTTAATTTTAAAAAGTTCTTAAAAGTTCATCTTCGTTACTAATGACCTGTGCCTTACATCATTATAACTGTACCATAATCCGTTTTTTTTATGATTTAATTCACTAGTCGTTAGTAAAATTTTTAAAAAAATTAACATATTTTTTATATTTTAATACAGTTAATTTAATAAAAAGTTGTAAAAGTTAAAAACATATACACAGCATTTCATAATGATTTAGGAAATTTAATGTTGAAGAAAAGGTTGAACTTTTTCTTTGACGTCTTTACCTTGTCATGGTGACTTGCTTGAGATGAAAAAAGTAATGAATTTCTGTCGAGACTCTGCACAAGAATTTTAGAGTGTCATTCCCCATTGTTCTCCTTCCCTTTAGAGTTTAAACCTTAACTTAGTGACACCACTGGATGCAGTTAGATAAAGAAACAAGAGCTTTTAGTGAGGAAAATTATAATGAACATTAATCTATATTATTGATTGAATAGGAAAAAAATTAGAATGGAATTGACATCTAAGGACAATGAGCAGGAAAAGTACCAAAATTATCAATGGATTGGACCTCAGAAAAAAGAAAGAGAGTGCGTGCGCCCTTGTTGAAGAATGAACCAAGTTAAAATTGCTGTGAAGAAGAATGGATATGCGGAAGAACAAGGAAAAGGTGAATGAAGGTTAAAAACGTAAAGAAATCCCATGAGACCAGGCACGAATCCAAGACCAACTACCAGTGTTCAGTGGTTTTATTCACTCTGCCACTTGTAAACGCATATATATGAAAAAGAAACACGTTTCTGTATCATAATGCGGT